CTTAGCGGCGACCACGACGTGCTGGTAAGCTACAAGCCCCCCCCCTCCCCTCCCCCTCCCCTCCCCTTCCCTTATCCCCGCACAGTGTCTGTCGCCACCCTGCCCAACCACTTGGCGCAGTGTGTGGTGGCAGAGAGGGGTATGCCATCCCCCCTCCCCCTCCCCCCTCCCCCTCCCCATTCCCCCACCTCCCTCCCTCTTTCTCTCTCCCTCTCCCTCACGGGGACTGGGGGGGGGGGTATGAGGGGGGTCGAGCAAGGGACTGTGGGGGAGGGGGGGGAGAGAGGGGGGCATGGGCATTCGCCCCTCCCTTGCCAGACTGTGCTATAGCAAGAGCACAGGGACACCTGCCCTGTACTCGGTCTCCTTCACTCGCATGACACGGCTACCATGTGCCATGTTGTGTATTTGATGGTGCCTACATACCTCCTCTCCCCCCCTGCCCCCCTCCCCCCTCCCCCCCCTGCCCCCCCCTCCCCTCTCACCCCTCACCCCCCTTCATCCAGATCTCCATCACCCACTGCGGTGTCTGTCACTCGGACCTGCATCGTGTTGACAACGAGATGGCCGGCAACAACTATCCCATGGTCCCGGGTCATGAGATCGTGGGTACGGTCACCGCCGTGGGCCCGGCTGTCTCGTTGGTGGCGGTAGGCGATCGCGTCGGTGTTGGTCCGCAGGGTGGGGCGTGCATGGATGGCGAGGCGTGCCGCGAGTGCGGGCGTGAGGCCAATAACTTTTGCCCCAAGCGTGTGTTTACCTACAACTCGCCCATCCCGAATCCGCCGGGCGTGACATACGGCGGCTATGCCGAGGCGCACATCACCCACGAGGCCTTTGCCATTCCCATTCCCGACGGCATGGACTCGGCGGTGGCCGCACCGCTCCTCTGCGCCGGCATCACCACGTACTCGCCGCTGGTCCACTTTGGCAAGGGGCTTAAGCCCGGCGCTCGGGTTGGCGTCGTCGGCATCGGCGGCCTCGGCCACATGGGCGTGCAGTACGCGGCCGCGCTTGGATACTCGGTCACCGCCATTTCGCGGACGCCGTCCAAGGAGGCCGAGGCGCAGACCTTTGGCGCTACGAGCTTCCTGCTCTCGTCGGACGCCGACGCCATGGCCGCCGCCCAGGGCACCTTTGACTTTATCCTCTGCACGGTCTCGGCCTCGTTGCCATGGGAGCTCTTCCTTGGCCTTTGCGCGCCCGACGGCGTCTTCTGCATGCTCGGCCTCCCCCCGAGCCCATGACCTTTGACGCCCGCAAGCTCATTGCCAACCGCATCACCCTCTGCGGCTCGCTCATCGGCTCGCCCAAGGAGCAGGCCGAGATGCTGGCCTTTTCCGCAAGCATGGCATTGCCCCGGTCATCGAGCACTCGTCCATGTCGGCCGTCAACGCCGCCCTCGACAAGCTCCGCGACAACGCCGTTCGCTACCGCGTTGTCATGGCCCAGGACTTTGAGCCGGTGCCCGAGCAGTGACCACCTAACAGCGGCGATCGCCTAGCTGCGGTAAAGGTATGAGCAGCAGATGAGGCGGGCGTGTGCGGTCAGCTCATTGTTTGTCCGACCGACCATCCGACCGCAAACGCCACCACGGCCACCGAGCCCATCGTCGTCCACGACACGCCATCGCCATGCCTGGCGTCAGGCGCACTCTCGTGCGGGCCTAGAACCGGCGAGCCGTGCCGTGCAGACGCACCCTCGTCCTCGACGCCGTCGGCGTCGGCGTTGCCTGCCGGCGGCAGCGCCAGCCGAGGAAAGGTGAGCGCAGGCAGGGCCGAGGCGAGGGCCACATCGCGACCGACCCGTGCCCGGCGCTGGGCAATGACAACCTGCCGGCGGCGTACAGCGTACGGGATGATGGCACGCGAGATCTGCGGCGCGTCCGAGCCGAGCCGGGCGGTGATGGCGGCGAGGAGCGCGGCAGACGATGAGCGTTCGCGCGGGTGGAGGGCGAGCATCTTGGCAAGGACGGCGTCGACGTCAGCCTGCCCGGTGGTAGGCGGCCAAGCACCACGCGGTGCGCTGGGGAGCGCCTGGATCTGGTCGCCGAGCTCGCGGCGCTCGTCGTACGGCGACTGGCGGGTGACCATTTGGTAAAAGGTGATGCCGAGGGCCCACACGTCCGACGCATACGTCTGCAGGTGCGCGAACCGCGAGCCGGCCTCAGCGTGGGCCAGTAGCTCGGGGGCAGTGTACCGCAGCGTTCCGGTGTTGCCCGACCGGACGTGCGCGTCCGAGAGCATCCGCGACTGGCCAAAGTCGGTCAGCAACAGCCGCAGATGCGCCGTGTCGCGCTGGAACCGGCTCCGCCGCGACGCCTCGAGATCGTCGGCGAGGTACTCGTGCACGAGGATGTTCTCCGGCTTGATGTCGCAGTGAACAATGCCGTTGTCATGGAGGTACGCCAGGCCTGAGAGCACGTCACGGAGCATGGCCCAGACCACGCTCAGCGGAAGCTCCATCCCGGCGTCGGGCGCACTCATGCCACGGGCGGCGGCCCGTCTCGCGGCGGCCTGCTCCGCCGGCGTCGGCGGCGCCGCATTGAGCCCCAGCAGCTCGGCGAGGTTGCCGGCGTTGGCAAACTGCATCAGCACAAAGAGACACGGCAGCGGCGGGCCAAAGTCGGCCGGGTTCTCGGCCATCTCGAGCCACACATGCTTAAAGTGGATGACGTTGGGGTGCTGCAGCCGCCGCAGAATCCGCACCTCCTCCAGCGTCGCCTCCAACAGCGCCGTCGCCGTCCCGACCGGGATCTTCTTGAGCGCGTACAGCCCGAGGTCGCATGCGTCGAGGTGGTGCTGGCAGAGGTACACTCCGCCGGCAAAGCCCGAGCCGATTTTCCCCAGCTCCTGGAAGAACCGCCGGTAGTAGCCCGTGGCAAAGGCCTGATCGGCCAGCCGCACGCTCTGCCGCCGCCGCCGTGAGCCGGCAGTCTCCACCTCCTCGGCAGCCTCGTCGTCCTCACCCGATTCGTCGCCGTCCGACACCGAGTGCGCACCGGCGAGGATCCGAAAGTGCGACTCGGCCAGCCGCGGCGGCTGCAGCATCTGCAGACTTTCTGCCGACGCCATCCACGCCAGCACGACATCGGCGTCGTTGTCTGCAGCCTCGCTCACTGTCTCTGCATCGCTGTCGTTGTCCATGTGCTCGACGCGAAAGTCGGCACCGCATGCGCCCGCCAGCCCGCCTACGCTCCCGCCGGCCTGCTGGCCACACATCGGGCAGCATCCGCTGAGATCTTGCCGCAGCTGCGGCGACGGGATCGGCATGAGCGGGAACGACTCCAGTTGTGGTGTGGTGCCCGTGCCTAGCGGCGCGAGCATGTCTCCGGCCACGGGTGACTGGCCCACATCCGAGCCAGTGCCTCCCTGGCGGCCTAGCCTACCACTCCCAGCCCTGGCTCGGTTCCTCGGGATCATGAGTTGGATCTCACCACTCGCACGGTGATTCCTTGCCTCATCTCCACCAGCTGGCGTGGCCATGACCATCTGCCCGAGACCACCACTAGCCTCGCTGTCGTTGTCCATCATCGCGATCTCGTCACTCTCCAGCACATGTACGCCTCCACCATTGCGGATGCCACCGCCGATGCTCTCCTCCATCATCTCTTCGCTGTCGTTCATCTCTTCAGTATGCCGTCAGGGCCCTGTCACTGCTGCCTGCGCTCGAACCGGTTGGTCGCACTCGAGGGGTGGTGCGATGGGGGAGGCGGTGGGTGCGTGGACGAAAGCAGGTACGTGTACTCGGTCTCTCCCCTCTGCAAGCAGCCGTATGAGGTGAGCGGATGAGCGTAAGGAATGTGGTGTGTGTGTGTGTGTGTGGGGTGGTGGTGGTGGTGGTGGGTGAGTGGGTGGGGAGAGGGAGAGAAGCGAGTTGGGTCACTATGAGACGTAGTGTGGCCTTCCTCCCTTCCGTCGGTGGTGGTCGTGGCGGGGGTGGTCGTCGTGCGAGTGCGAGTGCTGCACCGACGTCACCGCCATGCCGGGCTTCACGAATGATGGAGGCCCACGGATCGGTGGTTGGCATGGGTATAGGCGAGATCAGATCATACCCTGGTACGCCATCTGCCATCCTTGTACCATCATGCTCATCACCTCCTATGGGTGCCATGATCGTCCCTACAACCCCCCCCCCCCCCCCCTCCTTCCTCTTTCCCAGCTCCCTTTCCCCGCCTGGGCGCGCGCCGGAACCTTCGGTCGGTTCCCTCCCCACCCCGCCACCGCTCCCACCCCACCCCCCACCCCCACTCTACCCACCCCACCTCCCTCACCTTCCTACCACCACCACCGCTCTCCACCCCTCCCCCCCTACCTCTGAGGAGGATACAGCACCCCTAACCATGCCCGGAAAAGTATGCGTTCTCAACA